AGCAGAAATTAACAAGGAAAATTAAGGGAAATAATTTAATGGGCTGTTGTGATATTGCCAAGAAATAAATGAAACGCGTTTTGAAAGATTTATTCGGGGGCAATTATATGATATTATATAGTGTTTTGTTGTAGATATAATAATATCTATATCAAATCGAGACGAATATATAATGTAACCCGTTTGTCTGTTATAATATACTGCAGTGTGTTACCTGGGATCTTTCTTCTCTCACTTATTAATACCAAACTATATAGGTACTAAATATATTGTTATATTATATATCGATAAATAACGCGCATTGAAGGTGGTGTATATAAATATGGATAGTAGGTGATGGGTACTCAGCTAAACGCAATATCAAGATTTTTAACATTTAAATATATACCTTCACTATATTATTATGTATTATGTAATATGTATTAATCATGGACGGCTACCATAAGCATGATCAGACTAGGAAGATTATTGTATTATACAGTTTCGTTAGGTACATAATATATTAATATACCGTTTGAATAGTTGCCAAGGAGTCTTTAGGACGAACTGCTGCAGATCAAAGGATTGGGGTGAGAGTTGCTCCAAAAGTTAACGGTATATAATATTATGTCCTTGGATTAATTTTTTCTTAAGATTCGTTAAAATTTAAAACTATAATATCTGTGTACGTTTAAAAATGTAAGTGGTAGGTATTATAACTTTATAATCTGCAGCTTTCCAGCTCTCCTTACGGAGACGCATGAAAAATCATTTTTTTGGCTTCGCTGCAGAATTTAATATGTGTTTATAAATTATATTGTCCCTCGAGTTTTCAGAATTTTTTTTATCGAATTTATGGTTATTGTGTTATACTATCAATCATGATATATGCATTGCCTGTATAATATAGGTACACATATCAGATGTTTATTTTTCCCTGTTGAATGTCGGTATAAACGGTTTATACAGTGTAAATACATAATATACGTAGCAATAATCGGTAATAATATTTGATACCAAAAATGTCTTACAATATAATAATAATACATGCCAAAAGAAAAATTATTTAAAAATACAACTAACTATATGTATTTTATAATTCATTATAACAGTCTAATTAGTTGTTATAATTACGGTTACTCGTCCATAAAACAAATAGCGGATGTAAAGTTATTTAAAAATTTTTTTTTAGAACTTTTGTGGGTGTTGATTAATGCAGCCATGATAGTATAAAAATGTTTTTTTTTTCACATTTTATGTCTTGTTGGTTTTAATATGTTATATTAATGGTATAATAATAAGAAATAAAAACCAGACGACAACAGTTGGATAATTATAACTTAAATTTAACAAATATAATAGGTACATAATATCATAGTAACTATATTATGTATGTGTGTTAAGACTAATATGTATTATATATAAGTATACCTTTTGGTATAGGTATATTAGATTCGTAAATAATTTCACGACAAAAAACAGATAACGACACGGCCTTAATGTCATATTCTAGTATCCTACTGACTCTCGGCGGGGTAAGTGACATATTATGCATGTGTTTTTTTACGACGATTGTCATAAGTTGTAAACTATATAACTATTGATCGTATATACGAGTACCTATGTCCTATACGGTCTACAATAGTACAATGCTATTATAAATACATACATGGTAAATAAATTATTAGAATACTTTCATTTATATTTTTTAAGAGTTTATCATAATATATTATAGGCGTACGGTCGATGGAAAAAGGACAAGAAAAATTTTCCAATCGTCCTTGAAGATTATGTGGCGCATATGCGGTTACATAATCGGGAAACCCAAGGCGCACATCCAATCGGTAATTGGTCCGAGCCAAATAATTGGATATCTTATTGTTGTTTACCCTTCCCCTCGGTACCCAGAGCCCGATTTTCCAGCTGAACCGCTCCGACAATAACAATTGACCTGTAACCAAAATCTTTTCAAGTACGCATCGCCTAGGCATTGTTGCTACAAACTGTAGAACTAATAACAAAATAAATAACAATCGGATCTCATATTATATATTATTATGACTTGAGACGACGAAGACACAATATCTATAATAGATCGTTTCAGAAACGTTTCATCTTCCAGCCGGAAAATTAAAAAAATAATCCTATGACGCAGCTTAAGACGTATAATATATTATGTATGAAATATATTATTATTACATCACGTTAAATCAGTAACAAGCCTGACAACAACACAATGTAATTCTTTTTCATTTTAAATTATATAGTACACAGTAATTTCTAAAATATGGCCACTTAATTTCCATTGGTTATATCGTGTTATATTGTGTAAATATTACTTAAGTAACTTATACAAAAAAAAAAAAATCCTAACGACAAATAATAACTAAGACAATGTTTAACAAAGAATTAAAAATAAACTATTAAAAAATTTTATATCATAAATCAAAAATAAATAATGAATTAAGATGAAGGTAAAAGAAAGATAGTGGAAATCAGCCACCTAAAATTCGACTTAGATTAAGTGCTAAAGTACGGAAAATGAACAGTTGATCAATGCTCATGAGTATGTGGACTTGAAGCACATAAGGAAATAGAAATATAGTTAGTTAAAATTTAAAATAAAATTTTTGAATTTTTAAGTAAATACTTACATAATCACTTTTTAATTTTTGAGTAAATCAATAATGTCAATAATAAAAAAACACCACTAAAACAATAAATTTGTCAATGAATTATATTTCAATACTTGTAAGAATTTTGCTCAGCATTATAGTATCATACATGAAACATAATAGTTTAGAAAAATTTTTATAATTCTATACAAGTACACCTACGTATATTTCTAAGAAAAATAAAAAAAATGAAAACTAGAAATATTTTAAATATATTGAAATCTATTTTTGTGAAAGTAATAAACATTAATATTTTTTTTTTTTTTTTTAATCCTCGTGAGTCGTGATTTCAGATAGTATTTTATTGAGTTCGTAATCACTAATCACTCGTAGTCTCATCGGACACTGCACGTCTGCACTACTTTTTTGTATACATCCTGATCCTGGACAATATTGTACTACAGTATTATACTTATCTATGATTGTATATGGTTATTACGAATATAATATGGTGGAAATATTTGTATTTTTTAACAATACGTACAGAAACTTTGAGACGGATGTGGAATAAATTAATACACTATTGTTGTAACTTGTAGGCATACGATATGTCGATATATCGTTACCGATTTACAGACGATTTCATTTCCTATCGCAAACAATTTTCGTTTACATTAAATTTTCCATTTGTTCAAATATATGAAACAGTACAGACACAGAAAAACTACCTATGTACAACAATATGCAGGTAGTATAGAATCCATCATCTTAGCCAGGAAAACAAATTAAGAGTAATTTTTCAGTAAGCTGAACACAGTAATCATACTACAATCATTTACACAATGGAAAGTGGAGTGTTTGAAGGAAAACCGTTCCATTTTCACACTTTTGCTGTCGTCCTTTGTGTTTGAAATCGATTATCACACAGTTCGGAACAATAGGGTACTTAAGAGAAAAACGGTGCAAATCTTCCAGCCAGAAAAATGAATATTTGTTAACATTTGGTTTCGAGTCGAATGAATAAAGCCGTACACATTAAGTCAGTACCGTGAATATTTTGATTGCTAACATCCTCCCTCCTCTCACATGTTTTTCTTTTAATATTTTATTTCCCAAAAATAGTTGCAGTAATGCACATCTATAGTTCTAAATATTCTAATTTATTTAAATTCTATTGGTGTGGGACCACATTGGTACCCTAGCATAATAACTATGTCTAAAGTGGTGTACTTAAATATGCCCAAGGTCTAATCGCTTATTATTCTTAAATTGTTGATTAACACATAAAATATAATATTATTTATTACAAATATTAAAGTACTGCAATTTGATTACCTTGAATATAATATGACATAACTAACAGTAATCTATAATGAAACGTTTTAGGCCAAAATAGTTTCACTTACAACGTTCAAAACACTAACAATCGTATCTTATGAATCAATTACCTGAACCAAAGAAAATAAAGTTTAAAAAATAAACTTAAGAGTTGTATTTTCAATAACAATTTTCCAGTCCACCAGACCTTAACAATATTACAACTATAACTGGACAAATCATGAACGGTTGTGAAAAATCATTTCAAATTGTATAAAACGCAGTTAAATTATGGTCATTATTGGGCTAAGACTGAATAAATATCATTATGATTATTGTTACATGTTTTGAGTGGTATAAATGCATATATTTTAAAGGTTAATGTCTAAAAATTAGAAGTTTAATGCATACAAACACTAAAATACTTTACAAAGTGAAAATGAATACAAAAAAAATGTTTACCCTCAAATTTTCAATAATTCAAAATGATATATTAATTCATTATACCTACTAACCAGATTTAAATTTAAGAACTGAAACCTACAAATTCTCTACCAAGGTATTGAATTTTATTTATTAAATTTACTCAACATATTTAGCATTAACTATGCGTTTAAAACAAATTATTAATTATTATAGTAAAAACTAACAAGTAAGAAATTGTTTACTTAAATATATTATGTCCTTTGGTAACCTATAGATGTTTAACACATCAAAAGTTGTTTTTATTCTCACTTAGCATTTTATCTTTTTTAAACTGTAATTAGTTTATATACTACCGATATAATATTACAAAATATTTAAAAATGTTATGCATTTATATGCTACGATAATAACTATGTTATGTAAAAGGAAGATGTATCAATATTTATTTTACATTTTGTTTTTTAAAAAGATTAGTTTTAAAAAAATTGTTAGATATCAAGTACTAATAATACAACTGACATTGTACAATGTTCATAAAATAATAATGAAAGAATTGTTTTATAGAGAAATTATTTTTATATTTAAATATTTATACATCTTTATTCCTGTTTGATTTAATTATAATAAAAAGTTTAAGTAGTGTAAGTTATAAGGTTTACTAACTTCATTCTAGGATCTTTCTTTGGTTTACCAATTCCTCCAATTATTCTTGGCGCATCTCGTATGGCAAAGCTCTTAGCGTAGTGACCAAGATGGCAATCTTTGAAATTAAAACATTCTCGACTACTTTTTGGATAACTTGCATAAGATCTAACCCATGACTTGAAAGCTGTAATGCAAAAATTAAATGGTAAATATTTCATTATTTAATAATAGCAATAATTATATGAGAAAATTGGTATTGTGTAGTGGAAATCGAATATAGATTTATAATTTATTATTTAATATTAATGTACGCAATGGTTTTAATATCCGTTAAGTTATGATATTTAAGAGGACGTTACCCATGCATTTATTGTCTCCGTCTTACACATGTACAACATGGCAACATTTTGTTCACTAGTTTCAACAGTGTGCTGTTAGTTTCGATATTATAGTGAATTGACCTATTATCATACTTTTAGGTAAAAACATTAATTGTGCTCAAGAGTCAGTGATTTTTTCAATATTTTAATTTCAAGCAAGATATGGGTATGTGAAATATCACCACAATTAAAATGCTCATATTTCTTCATTAAAATATCCAATAAAAGCCAACGTTAGCATAGATAACATTCTCACCTAAAAGTTTGATAATACTATTAGGTCAATTCACTCTAATATCAAAACTAACAGCAGACTAATGAATGAATGAACAAAATTTGTTAAGCAGTATGTACATTTGTAAGACTGAGACAACAAATGCACGGATAGTGTCCCATAGGAGAGGGGTGGCTTAGCCCCCCAAAGTATTCCTAACTTGACCCTGTAAGTATAATAAATTATGTTAATACGTGTTAATTGATATTTCTTGGCATCCCCTCCCCATAGATTTTTGACCAAATTTACGCCTATCAGTCAGACGTTTTGCAATGTTCTTAAGAGTACACTACTTTGTAGTCTTCGTCTTACAAGTGAGTAAAATAGCAAATTTATGTTCAGGAGAACGCGTTTAGCTACGTTGTTTTTAAAAATTAGAGTGAATCGACCTATTATTTTATTTTTGATAAGATACAGGCCTGGGCCCAAAACAAAAAGTGATATAATAGTAACAATAAATTAAAATGATTGAATAACAAATGTAATAAATAAACAATTTATCAATGAAACTAAAAATTAATAGAGTTTGAAATAATATTAGCAAAGACCCAGTTGAACAGTGTTTTTAAGGATAATTGAAAGTGGGGTCTTCATTAGCAATCCGCATAAGACGGTTAAAGGAGTTATGAAACTTGATTGTATGTAGATTATCTGTGTTTGCATGTTGGTTTTTTACGATAGTTCAAATTTTTAGTAAGTTATGCGTATATAATATAATGTAAATTAAAAATGCTCATAACTCACTAAAAAACTGAACTATCGTAAAAAAAACTACACACAAACACAGATAATGTTTTTACCATTAAGGGTCATAATAGGTCGATTCACTCTAATTTTTAAAATAACAGAGTTAAACTTGTTTTGCTGAGCTTAAATTTACTATGTTATGCACTTGTAGACAGAGACCACAAATATCTATACTCTATTCCAAATAAATTTGGAAAAATGTACCACGAAAACGCGTCCGGTTTCGCGCAGGTATGTCACGTGATCTGCCGGTGGCGAGCGCTGTTGTCGACGATCCGGTTGGAGTGGGACGAATGCCGAATCCGTAGCCAATCACAGCGTACCTGCATGCGCGATTTTTTCCTAACTTATTTGGTATAGAGTATATGTAACGTGCTCTTCATCAGCCAAAAAAAACTATAACCCTGGTTCTCGGTGTTATTGCTATTTAACAATTTATTTTATACCTATTAAAAATGACTAATAATTAATTTTCTCAGTGTATTTATTATGGTGGAAATAAAATTTTGTTTTTATAGGAGGAAACAATTTCCAGGAGGTTAGAACTCTAAAACATTACCCCTGTAGACTACATACACCACTTGATTTAAACATTAAAGTATTAAATGTTTATTAGATTACCAAAGTACTGAATTATAAGTAAAATATAAACAATAGTATATTAAATTAATTCTTTCACAAATACCAAAAGTATTTAATAATAGTATATACCGTTGCACCCTAATTCATGAAGACGATCTTGTTCAAGTACTGCTGTTTCAAAGCGTGATTGTAATACATTGGCCGCCATTTCAGCTGTTTTTACATGTTCCTAATAAAAATGAATTATATTTATTTTCAATTACTAAAATATAGCTTTTGCAAATAATAAATATAAGTTAATTTTGAGTAAAATAATGAAAACATAAATTCAAGTGTATCTTGATTAATAATTTTAATATACTTACACCTTCAAATTCCATTGTAAGAATTGATGTCAAACATTTATCCATTTTTAATTCTGAGGCTCTAAAATGTGAGTACAATAATTAACTAGTTTATAATAATATAATAAAATAATTACTAAAAGTAAATTGTTATTAAAAATTTCTTTAGTCTTAAATGTGATTTAAATGTTTTTAAATTTCTTTAAGAGTTATGATCTATTATTAATATTTGATTCTAGGTCTTACACAATAGAATGATCTGAAGTTTAAGCTATACACATAGCTTCATGTGGTGTCAAAAATAATGTAGCTTCTCCCTTCTGCCCAACTCTAGCAGTTCGACCAACTCTATGAACATAATCTGTAGGTGTTATTGGAGCATTGTACTGTATTATTCGATCTACTAACGGTAAATCTAAACCTCTTGATGCACATCCTAAAAAATTCAATAGTTAGTAAATACCATAATCTAATCACCACATTACCATACACAAATAAAAGACATATTTACTCAGTAAAGCTGTTTTTTTTAATTACAATAAAAATTATAAATGCTTAATATTTCAAACATTATAATTAATAAAATATTTTTATATAAATTAACTTTGGAAGTAAAACTCAAAACAGCAATAAAAAAATTTTTAGTTATACATTTAGACGTAACATACAATGAATATTTGTAGAAAAATGTTATTAATTTTACATTGATAATTTGTATTTATTGTTTGAGTTCATGAAAATATACTGTTTTATATTATACTATCTTTTTTGAATTAAAATTGACCAAAACTAAATAATTTAACCAACTCTTAACAGTTAACATACAAATTAAATTAAAATAAATGATTGTATTACGGAAAATAAATAACATACAGTGCAAAATAAAACTCCATGATCTGCAGCTTTAAACGATTTAAAAACTTCCATACGTTCTACTTGAGTCATATTACCATGGAGTTTGAACATGGTAACAAGTTAGTACAGTGGTTAATAATTCTGATAAAAAGTCAACCATATCTTGAGTGGCCATAAAAACTAATGTTTTGCTTGAAATTTGACCTTTCTGTAAAAATAAATGTGTTTATTAATAAGTTTTTTAATTGTTTAAATTAATTAATCTTTACTTGTAATTTTTGTAACAAAACGCCAGAAAGTGTAACTAGTCTTAATTTAGGAGGAGCTAAAACATAATATTGTAAAAGACTATCTGGTATTGCCATGCATTCTGAATCTGTATTCCCTATTGAAGACGCATCAATGTAAACAGGATCTTTCAATGACAATCCTGCAAGCCGCTGGACTCCTTCAGACAAAGTTGCTGATAATAAGGCTGTTTGTCGAGGCACAGATTCATCACGATGTTCATCAACGACAGATAAAATACTATAACACAAATACTTCAATAAAAAATCAAGATTACAATATAAACTAGTACCTATACCATTGATTAAATATATTAATCAATGCCCGTACTTCATAGCAGTGGTAAGGCGTGAGTTTTTAGGTTGGGGAGACATTGGAAAAAAATCAAGCATAGTGTCAATAATATTGATACTTATATATTTTAGACATCACACAAGAAATAAAGAAACTTTAAAATAAAAACTAACCACAACAATGATTTGCGGTATTGATTAATGAAAAATAAAATAAACAAAAAAATAAATGGTGAGAAGCGTCTCATAGCTCAACAATAACCTCCACTCACTTTCCAATTCTCGAGGGCACACTGTACCTTGAAAAAATGAGACCTCACCTCTTATTTATTTATATAGGTAGTGAATTTTTTTTGTATTTGGATGTTTACTAGAAGGGTCCTCCAATGTCAGGCTCTGCCCCTTGCACACAGAGCTCGCAACTAGTCAATTCTAAAAAAACTATAATGGTATAATAAAAAGAATAGATTTTGACAAATATTTAAATATAATTATAAACCGTGTGTCCCCAAAAACAGGGTGCACTGTATAATAAAATCACCCATATTACTCAATATGCTATACATATTTTTGAATTTTGTTTGAGGGCCATGAAACTAGACTATTGGATCATCAATCTCCCATAGACAGAGTTCTAAAATATGTATAGGTAACAGTAATTGAGTGTACCCAGTTTCTGTGGACATACGGTATACATTATTATACTCTATATAATATATCATTATAACATTCAAATATGTAACATTTATTATTAAATTTATTTGTCCGTATTCTAAGTGAGAAGACGTTTTTAGAGCCTCATTGCCTCCTATGACGCTTGCCACTGCTACATAGTACATACTTGAATTACTTTTTTAGTTGAAAGAATATCCTTACCTTGTAATATCTTTTTCATATCCGAGATCCAGCATTCTATCAGCTTCATCAATTATCAACCATTGAAGTGATTTAAAAGATATTGACTTGGTATTCTGTGCATGGTCCAATAATCGTCCTGGTGTTCCTATAAGTATTGTGATGCCTTTTCTCATACGTGCCTTCTCAGATTTTCTTTTTTCACCACCCGTAAACATACCAGGTACAAGCCATGTGTAAGGCTACAAAATTATGTATTTTTTTTATTTATTTGATATTTATAATTCTGTATATTTTTATAACCTTACTTTTAATAACTTGATAAAATTTTCATAGGTCTGTAATGCTAATTCTCTGGTTGGCAAAATAATTAGTGCCCTAAGGCCATCAGTTCGAGATAGTTTTGGTCGAATCTTATGTAACGACTCAATAAGCGGAACAGCGTACGCAAATGTTTTACCACTACCCGTCTCAGATTGAACCATTGCATCTTTACCAGATTGTAAAACTGGAATTGTTTGACTTTGAACTGTTGTCAATTTTGTCACTCCTAACGTTTGTTCCAAATTTGCAACCTATTGTCAGAAAAAAAATGAAAAATGATTGTTAGGTACAATTTTTTTCTTGAAACCTAGCTATTATCTTAATAACATAAATAATAGTTGATTGTGTTTGAGACTTTAAGTGTTATGGCCTTATTTCAATAAGTAATTAGAAACAATAATTTATTTAAATAACACTTAAATACTTGAAAATACACGTTAATAGTGAACAAGAATGACCTCATCATTCAAACTACAATCTATAATTTGTTTAACATTTATATGGACGTACCCAAAAATATTAAGTAAACAATTTTGAAACAAATAATCATTATGATACTAGTTTATAATGAATCTTTTAAACTCAGTAATATTATTGTTTTTTTTTTTGTTATATGCTTTCAAAAGATATTTAATTAATTAAAATAGTTTAAAATGATCTATTCGAACCAAATTATTTTTACATTATAAACTGTGGTTAATAGTATTTCTCATTGAGGCTGAATCTCTCATATTAAAATGAACATATTATGATAATCAACTTATTCAAAACCAAAAATTAAACTGTAAGAAATATAAAACATTTTGGTTCATATGGTTTTTAAAGACTCTAATATTAAATAATTATAGCTGAAAAACTAAAAAAAAATAGTAGTACACTGTGGAAATATTCCAAAGTTAAAATATTATCAGGCATTAATAAAGATATTAGTAATCATAGAAGAAAAATAGATGTTCTTAACAAACCATATGTGCATGTAGATCGGTTAAATCCTTATATGTTGAAGTGGAAAACAATGAATTCTTATTTTTGTTACTAGCTTGAATGTCAATTTGTTTATTAAGTATGGCCACAGGTAATTGCACTTCTGGGTTATTTCTGAACATTGAAGACACATATCCATTTTTTCTGTCATTGTTATTTTTCTTTTGATAATTTGAATTTTTTCCATTTAACCTAGCATCATTTCCTTTCTCCTACAAAGAGAAAAACAGTTTAATTAGTACTCAACAAAATGTTGTATAGTGTATTAGATATTTTTACTTTTCTTGAAAAATTTGATCTTCTATTAACACCAAATACTTTTGAATTTACAGGATCTTTTTCGCGATTTATGACACAGTCATTTTCTAGACCATCGCCAAACTCGTCACAATTCATATTAAATAGATTATGTAAAATCAGGTAAAACGTAACTGCTTAAAAAATTAATGGAAAATGTTGAGTCGTTAATCGTTATTCGTTACATTAAATTGAACATTTTAAAGATAAATTAACAAAAATCAAAATACAAGTAATAAGTAACAATTAATACTACTTCCTATCAGTAAGTAGTAACCTTAAAACAACACGTGCAATCACATTGATAAGAACAGTACTGATAACAAATAAAGCATTCTAAACAAAACTGAGTTTGTCTCTTTGTCGATCTTCATAATATTCTACTATTCTATACCTCATTGGGCTCTACCTAATAAACTAAGTAACAGAATCGTCGTTTGAAAACACTTTTCAACCCGTTTCCTCAATATAATTAAAATATTTGAAATTTTTTTTTGCCAAAGGTGTTACTCAATGACGGAGTAAACTATCTGTATTAGTTTTGAAGTTCGATCTCAAATACTTCAATCAAAAAATATAATAAGTTGAATTTGTAGTAAAAAAGCCTTCAACAGGTATGTCACCCACACCTATGTAAGTGAAAAGTAACATTTTCCGAATTATTTTTGTATCAACGTTAAGACCGCTATTTAAATATATAGTTGCGCCTATTCACAATAGAAAAAACAAGCTCCTTCTACCTAATAAACTAAGTAACAGAATCGTCGTTTGAAAACACTTTTCAACCCGTTTCCTCACTATAATTAAAATATTTGAAATTTTTTTCGCCAAAAGTGTTACTCAATGACGGAGTAAACTATCTGTATTAGTTTTGAAGTTCGATCTCAGATACTTCAATAAAAAAATATAATAAGTTGAATTTGTAGTAAAAAAGCCTTCAACAGGTATGTCACCCACACCTATGTAAGTAAAAAGTAACATTTTCCGAATTATTTTTGTATCAACGTTAAGACCGCTATTTAAATATATAGTTGCGCCTATTCACAATAGAAAAAACAAGCTTCTTCTACCTAATAAACTAAGTAACAGAATCGTCGTTTGAAAACACTTTTCAACCCGTTTTCTCACTATAGTTAAAATATTTGCAATTTTTTTTTGCCAAAGGTGTTACTCAATGACGGCGTAAACTATCTGTATTAGTTTTGAAGTTCGATCTCAAATCCTTCAATCAAAAAATATAATAAGTTGAATTTGTAGTAAAAAAGCCTTCAACAGGTAAGTCGCCCACACCAATGTAAGTAAAAAGTAACATTTTCCGAATTTTTTTTGTATCAACGTTCAGACCGCTATTTAAATATATAGTTGCGCCCATTCACAAAAGAAAAAACAAGCTCCTTCCACCTAATAAACTAAGTAACAGAATCGTCGTTTGAAAACACTTTTCAACCCGTTTCCTCACTATAGTTAAAATATTTGCAATTTTTTTTTGCCAAAAGTGTTATTGAATAACGGCGTAAACTATCTGTATTAGTTTAAAAGTTCGATCTCAAATACTTCAATCAAAAAATATAATAAGTTGAATTTGTAGTAAAAAAGCCTTCAACAGGTAAGTCGTCCACACCAATGTAAGTAAAAAGTAACATTTTCCGACTTTTTTTTGTATCAACGTTCAGACCGCTATTTAAATATATAGTTGCGCCCATTCACAAAAGAAAAAACAAGCTCCTTCCACCTAATAAACTAAGTAACAGAATCGTCGTTTGAAAACACTTATCAACCCGTTTCCTGAATATAATTAAAATATTAGCAATTTTTTTTTGCCAAAAGTGTTACTCATTGACGGCGTAAACCATCTGTATTAGTTTAAAAGTTCGATCTCAAATCCTTCAATCAAAAAATATAATAAGTTGAATTTGTAGTAAAAAAGTCTTCAACAGGTATGTCACCCACACCTATGTAAGTAAAAAGTAACATTTTCCGAATTATTTTTGTATCAACGTTAAGACCGCTATTTAAATATATAGTTGCGCCTATTCACAATAGAAAAAACAAGCTCCTTCTACCTAATAAACTAAGTAACAGAATCGTCGTTTGAAAACACTTTTCAACCCGTTTCCTCACTATAATTAAAATATTTGAAATTTTTTTCGCCAAAAGTGTTACTCAATGACGGAGTAAACTATCTGTTAAAGTTTTGAAGTTCGATCTCAAATACTTCAATCAAAAAACATAATAAGTTGAATTTGTAGTAAAAAAGCCTTCAACAGGTATGTCACCCACACCTATGTAAGTGAAAAGTAACATTTTCCGAATTATTTTTGTATCAACGTTAAGACCGCTATTTAAATATATAGTTGCGCCTATTCACAATAGAAAAAACAAGCTCCTTCTACCTAATAAACTAAGTAACAGAATCGTCGTTTGAAAACACTTTTCAACCCGTTTCCTCACTATAATTAAAATATTTGAAATTTTTTTCGCCAAAAGTGTTACTCAATGACGGAGTAAACTATCTGTATTAGTTTTGAAGTTCGATCTCAGATACTTCAATAAAAAAATATAATAAGTTGAATTTGTAGTAAAAAAGCCTTCAACAGGTATGTCACCCACACCTATGTAAGTAAAAAGTAACATTTTCCGAATTATTTTTGTATCAACGTTAAGACCGCTATTTAAATATATAGTTGCACCTATTCACAATAGAAAAAACAAGCTTCTTCTACCTAATAAACTAAGTAACAGAATCGTCGTTTGAAAACACTTTTCAACCCGTTTTCTCACTATAGTTAAAATATTTGCAATTTTTTTTTGCCAAAGGTGTTACTCAATGACGGCGTAAACTATCTGTATTAGTTTTGAAGTTCGATCTCAAATCCTTCAATCAAAAAATATAATAAGTTGAATTTGTAGTAAAAAAGCCTTCAACAGGTAAGTCGCCCACACCAATGTAAGTAAAAAGTAACATTTTCCGAATTTTTTTTGTATCAACGTTCAGACCGCTATTTAAATATATAGTTGCGCCTATTCACAATAGAAAAAACAAGCTCCTTCTACCTAATAAACTAAGTAACAGAATCGTCGTTTGAAAACACTTTTCAACCCGTTTCCTCACTATAATTAAAATATTTGAAATTTTTTTCGCCAAAAGTGTTACTCAATGACGGAGTAAACTATCTGTATTAGTTTTGAAGTTCGATCTCAAATACTTCAATCAAAAAACATAATAAGTTGAATTTGTAGTAAAAAAGCCTTCAACAGGTATGTCACCCACACCTATGTAAGTGAAAAGTAACATTTTCCGAATTATTTTTGTATCAACGTTAAGACCGCTATTTAAATATATAGTTGCGCCTATTCACAATAGAAAAAACAAGCTCCTTCTACCTAATAAACTAAGTAACAGAATCGTCGTTTGAAAACACTTTTCAACCCGTTTCCTCACTATAATTAAAATATTTGAAATTTTTTTCGCCAAAAGTGTTACTCAATGACGGAGTAAACTATCTGTATTAGTTTTGAAGTTCGATCTCAGATACTTCAATAAAAAAATATAATAAGTTGAATTTGTAGTAAAAAAGCCTTCAACAGGTATGTCACCCACACCTATGTAAGTAAAAAGTAACATTTTCCGAATTATTTTTGTATCAACGTTAAGACCGCTATTTAAATATATAGTTGCACCTATTCACAATAGAAAAAACAAGCTTCTTCTACCTAATAAACTAAGTAACAGAATCGTCGTTTGAAAACACTTTTCAACCCGTTTTCTCACTATAGTTAAAATATTTGCAATTTTTTTTTGCCAAAGGTGTTACTCAATGACGGCGTAAACTATCTGTATTAGTTTTGAAGTTCGATCTCAAATCCTTCAATCAAAAAATATAATAAGTTGAATTTGTAGTAAAAAAGCCTTCAACAGGTAAGTCGCCCACACCAATGTAAGTAAAAAGTAACATTTTCCGAATTTTTTTTGTATCAACGTTCAGACCGCTATTTAAATATATAGTTGCGCCCATTCACAAAAGAAAAAACAAGCTCCTTCCACCTAATAAACTAAGTAACAGAATCGTCGTTTGAAAACACTTATCAACCCGTTTCCTGAATATAATTAAAATATTTGAAATTTTTTTTTGCCAAAGGTGTTACTCAATGACGGCGTAAACTATCTGTTATAGTTTTGAAGTTCGATCTCAAATCCTTCAATCAAAAAATATAATAAGTTGAATTTGTAGTAAAAAAGCCTTCAACAGGTATGTCACCCACACCTATGTAAGTAAAAAGTAACATTTTCCGAATTTTTTTTGTATCAACGTTAAGACCGCTATTTAAATATATAGTTGCGCCCACTCACAATAGAAAAAACAAGCTCCTTCTACCTAATAAACTAAGTAACAGAATCGTCGTTTGAAAACACTTTTCAACCCGTTTCCTCACTATAATTAAAATATTTGAAATTTTTTTCGCCAAAAGTGTTACTCAATGACGGAGTAAACTATCTGTATTAGTTTTGAAGTTCGATCTCAGATACTTCAATAAAAAAATATAATAAGTTGAATTTGTAGTAAAAAAGCCTTCAACAGGTATGTCACCCACACCTATGTAAGTAAAAAGTAACATTTTCCGAATTTTTTTTGTATCAACGTTAAGACCGCTATTTAAATATATAGTTGCGCCCACTCACAATAGAAAAAACAAGCTCCTTCTACCTAATAAACTAAGTAACAGAATCGTCGTTTGAAAACACTTTTCAACCCGTTTCCTCACTATAATTAAAATATTTGAAATTTTTTTCGCCAAAAGTGTTACTCAATGACGGAGTAAACTATCTGTATTAGTTTTGAAGTTCGATCTCAAATCCTTCAATCAAAAAATATAATAAGTTGAATTTGTAGTAAAAAAGCCTTCAACAGGTAAGTCGCCCACACCAATGTAAGTAAAAAGTAACATTTTCCGAATTATTTTTGTATCAACGTTCAGACCGCTATTTAAATATATAGTTGCGCCTATTCACAATAGAAAAAACAAGCTCCTTCTACCTAATAAACTAAGTAACAGAATCGTCGTTTGAAAACACTTTTCAACCCGTTTCCTCACTATAG